TGATAGCCTTTTAGCATGTACAAGACAATATAAACATTCAGAACGATATAATAACTATAATGCAGAATCCCATGATCACCATACCAAAGTCTTCAATTCCATAGGTCCTTAACTTTATTACACATGTGTACTGAAAAATATTAGGGTTTTTCCCCAGCCCGGCTATTGGCTACAACAGAACAAACAAACAAAAATATAGAAATATTCTTTGATAATAAATTCATATTTATGAAACACAAATAATGCAACTACAAATGTTTAGCTGATACGGTATCAGCTACTGCTTAGACATTAAACAATCTGATACACCTGGCTCATTATAATAATAATAATTATCATCATTACATCTGTGCCCATTAACATAGGCATACTTGTTTCGCCATTTTATACGATCACCCAAATTATGGACCAGGACTCGCCCCTTCCATATATGGCTGAGCAATCCAAATAAATTATTTATCTCTTTTCCTTTATCATCCTGTCTTCAATCTTGCCAGTCGTTACCAGGTTCTAGAACCCATTCCGTGTCATAACATGTCAGAACAAAATCGACATGTCTAGGTCTTATTGTTCTAATCAGGTTACGTCTCTCATTCGTCTCGAGGAGAACTGCTCCCATTTGCTTGTCTGCCATTCAGTGATATTCTTGGCATTCTTTTCAGAAATAAATTTCCGCTGTGAGAAAATATTTTTCAGCCTGTCTGCTTACTTTCCAAGACGTACAGGCATATGTAAACCCAGGTTCGCCTCTTTTATATAGCACATCAATGTTTTTTTACACACTTGAATTGACATCTTTTTATTAGTGAGTTATCTTTTGCAACTTGCGAAAGGCCAGTTTTATCAAAGCGATTTCTGTTCTAATTGTTACAAGGCCTCTTGCACCAGATGTTATGTTTCCTCTAAAATATTTGTTTATGTGTCTGGGATGTTGTTTCCCAAAGACAAAGTGATCCAAAAACAAACATTCGATTGTTATGTTTTTGATTTTGATTGCTAATATGGTTCGAAATGTTTTGTCTCACACATATACACACACACTCACACACATGCGCGTGCGCACATACACACACACACACAAAATAAATTCGCGGGATAGAAAAAAAAACGACCCATGTCTGGGTAAAGTGAGTTCACCTATTGGATCCGATACACTGGAGGTTAGGAAATCTCATTCCGGAGAGAACAAAACTTCTCTCCATTTGTGTGAGATTAACCTGGTGACCTGTTTCCCGACCCGGTACCGGAGTGTGCACCACCCACCTGTCCCAGTTCATAAGCTAAAGAGGTGTGCAAAATAAAAATAAAAATTAAAAGTAAAAATTCCTTTTTCATGCCTCATTTCGTTTAGGGCATATAGAGCTAGACCTACATTTTTACAGATCAAAATCGGCACCAGATGGGTGATGTGGTCAGCATCACACCGGCCACCTTTACTTCCCAAGGACTGCACCCGGTACCCACTCGGCTGGGTCGACCTGGGAGTCAAGATCATTTTTGAAAAAAAAAAGTCTGGCTAAAATAAGAACTGGAAATTCACATTTGAAAAGGGATATTAAAGTGGTGGCCACTTTCTTTTTTTTTAGATGTGTTAGCTGCCATGGAAAAAGCTGTGAACAGTTTAATATTCAGTAAGTACTTCTTGGTAGAGATGTACTTTTCAATAGACGTGCTTCCAGATACTTCAAGATGTACTTTTCAATAGACGTGCTTCCAGATACTTCACACTGTATTCCGTGAACGAATGTCATCATCATCATGTAGCAGGTCCTTTGCAGAACATCGCTCTCATCACAGTCTGCCTGAAAGAAATTCGGTCTCTCGCCAGTTCTCCCGCCTCATATACTTTCATACTCTAGGAGTCACTTATATCCTATGCCCATCTTTGTGTCGGTCTGCCCCTGCCCCTCCTTCCTGGTACCATGCCTTCTGCTATAATGTTTTCCAATCCGTCGTGGCGCTGATTTGACCAAAATATTTCAGCTTCCGAGACAGGATGCTGTTTATTAGCCAGTCTTCCTTGATGTTCAGTTCTTTCAAGATGTCGGTATTTCTCCTCTTCTTTGTCCAAGATGTGAACGAATGTATCAGTCTGAAGATCATATGACGTAACTTCTACTCGCAAGCAGATATTCAAATGAATATTTATTTGGCTTTTCTCCTTAGATTTTATCGCATTCTTCGTAGAGCAGTGTTTTTTTAAACGGTTGTAGATGGGGATTGTACTGATATAAAGCAAAGGACTTTTTTTTTCACCCCTTTAGATGTACTGGGCATTGAGGACTAGACCTTTTAAAGACCAATAGTTATTTGGTTGGTTATGTGGTCAGCATCAGGACGCCTGTCTTTACTTCCCAGCCCTTTACCTGGTACAGATTTAGGACTGGGCCGATATGGGAGCAAAGATCATTTTTTAAAACAGAGGCCGGCTCCATCAGGATCTGACCCATGACCTTCCGATCCGCTACACTACGCCGGCTCCCCAACTGGCTATTGGGCCACCAGAAATGACTGTAACGGCCACACAATTTCGGCACTACATTGTGCGCGACGTTTGACGCCGCTAGCAAAGGCGCAGCCACAGAATACTACTGTTGTTTCAGCATTGACTAACTGACTGACTTTCTACCCCACCAGGACATCACACAAGCGACAAACACCCGATGACACAAAGTGCCACCATGTGGATGAGGATCGCCGTGGAGAGGTCCCAGAAACCGCGTTCAGACAATTGGTCATGTTTATGGCCTGCCAATTTTGCGGTCCCTGGCAAAAGCCAGGGTGGGGCTTCAAATAACAAAAAATTTCGACCTAAATATAACGAAACACCTATTGCTAGGTAAGGCGAATTATTTCAGCATTGCTTCATTTTGTACATTTTATAGTCTGCCGATTTGTGTCTTTCTGAGGGTTAAGATTGCCAGTGCATTTTCTTTAATAAGGAGGATAAAACCCTGATAGAGGGGGACTATAACATTGCAGCCACAACTCTCATTGCGCTAGTAGTATGAGCTGTAAAGGTTGGGTATTATTTTAGGATTAATCCTGCGACTAAGCAAGGATTAATTGAAACAAAGAAGGAAAAACTTAGCCGCCATGTGACCTAGTTATCGAGGCTCCTTTGGGGTAATGGGGGGGGGGGGGGGGGGGACATGCCATACGGTGGTTTTCGCAGAGGCTGTGGTTTTTTCTTGTTTGTGTAATTAGTGAAGGCTCGGTGGTTTTGTGGAAGCCAGGTTTTTTTTTCTTCATTGGCTCATTGGTGAAGTCTCGGTGTTAGTATTTTCTTCTATCAGCATTTTCCTTTAGGCTTGGGTTTTTTGCTTTTTGTGTCTTTTATGGAGGCTGGGGTTTTTCTTCTTAGGCTCATTTTTGGAGGTTTGGTGGAGGTTCATGGTCTTTGGTGCGGAGTATTTTCTTCTTTATGGTTATTGGTGGGGGATCGATTTTTTTCTTCTTCTTTGGGTTTATTGCAGAGGCTCGGATTTTCCCTCTTCTTTGGGTCAATAATGGAGGCTAGGGGTCTAATGTGGAGGCTTTTTTTTTTTTTTTTTTTTGCTTCTTCCTGTCCTTGATGGAGGATCAGAGTCTTTGATGTGAAGTATTTTTTCTTTGGCCTATTGGGGAAAGCTCGGTGACTTGGCGCCTGTTTAAGATAGCGGTTTGATAGATGTTTAAGATAGCGGTTTGATAGATGTTTAAGATAGCGGTTTGATAGATGTTTAAGATAGCGGTTTGATAGACTAGCTTTTGGTGGTTCAAGATGTTGGCTGCAGGGGTTCTGGTCCAAGATGACGACAAGTCAGTTTGTAAGATGAAGTGTATTTTCAAGAAGCATACCGCTGCTTGTTTTTGCTGTATATAATGTTTTCTTAGTTATTTTATTAGGTAACACACAAAGTACCTTATATTTCAATGTTCTTGGTTAATTTATGTTATGTTCATCTTTCATAAAATAGACTTATGTAAAAGAGGATAGCTAAATGTACACAGAGGTGAACTGACAGTGGCACATACATTTATATACAAAAGCGGATAGACAGAAGGACATATGTTAAACAAAGATACAGTTATTCACACATTATGCAATATTTATAATAGGTTTACATACAAATTTAGCCATACAACCAATTAGGGTTTTTATATTCCTCTATTTATTAAACTACTACATCAGTCGGAGTAGACATATTTAGTAAAATATATTTAAATGACAGAAATCAGCGACAAATCAAAGAAAACAAATGTGGCTTTTGAAGACCACACATTATATTTAATTTTAAGCTTACAAAATTATATTTTAAAACAGCTGCTAAACGAAAGCAAATGGTACGTAATGAATTATATGTATATTCTCATAAGCTCTTTGTTCTAATTTTCAGCATCAAGCAGAGATTTCCTATTCTAATGGTAGCATCCTGTTTGTATAGCCGTCTCGCCACTTTTCGGAGTGTTGAATGTCGGCCAGATCGCCTGGTGCCTCCTCCCTGAACCATTCTCCTTCAGACTGCGATGATTTATCTATTCATGCCTCCGCACTGTTTAATCACTCCAAAAGAATCCTTAAAACATCTAGCATCAATGTACCACCACGTGGTGCAGAACCTATGCGTTCTCTTCTCATACCTTTTAATTTAACGCAAACTCCTTTGGTTTCCAGTGTTATATTCATTATTACAACACATACCAAAGAATAAAATCATCAATATGCACCCATAATATATATATATATATATATATATATATATATATATATATATATATATATATATATATATATATATATATATATAATTTTGTTTTTCTGCTTATGTCATTATAAATCCATCTGATTGTTATTTGTAGTATTTCTTCTTTTAAAAATTACACTTATTTTCAACGGTATGATGTCCTTATTTCTACTGTAGTCTTGTCGTATTCACACCAGTCTATTATGTCTATGAGTATATAAACACATTGCTCATGTTTATATATTGCATTAAAAGCAAGGCACATATCTATTTTTAGATTCCCAAATTGGATTTAATAGCGTTGAGCAATGGAAATAATCCAGCGCGGCACACTCCCGCGTTATCATCCAGATGCAGAGCCCACACACCAACACCTCCGAGACTGACAGACTTCATCCAGGCAACCTGTCAATGATATTGAAATATGATTTATGTGTGTGTGCCTGCGCGCGCACACACACACACTATGTCCATAAAGTTATGGTGTACTTTGATCAATCACAGGAAAGCAACGGAAGAAGATAGAAATGTGAAATCTGCACCAAATAAAAGAAAAACTTTCCATGTTTTGTAGTATAATGTGCAGGCTTTACAGGTAAGAAACCTGAAGAGTTGTCCTTTCAGTTGGTGAAGATTTCACATATCCTGTTTCGTTGGTCTCCTGTTACTGGTCAAAAGTACACATTGACTTTACAGACACACGGTTCTGTTTGTGTGTGTGTGTATGTGTGTGTGTGTGTGTGTGTGCGTGCGTGCGTGCGTGCGTGCGTGTGTGCGTGTGTGTGTGTGTGTCCAGACTGAAATGGATTCTAGATAATGTCACGGGAAGTAAAGACATGGAGCTTGATGGTAATCACATTATCTATATTATAAGTATATCTATATATATAAAAATCAATGTTTGTGTGTTTGTTTGGTCTCTATAGACTCGGAAACTACTGAACCGATTTAGCTGAAATTTTCAGGATATGTTTGTTGTGATACCGGATTTTGAACCATCGTGGTTTGAAATTCAACCTGTCACTGTTAGAGATAGGTGACCACAATTTATGCCAAAATATACGCAACTAATATTTATAACCTTAGTGATTTCTAATTATAGCCACGTTATTTATTGCGCATGCGCCGTATTTACCATTCGCCAGCGAGTTACGTGCAGCCAACGCCTTCTCTAATACTAATACATAGAGTAGGTCGTGGTACAGCAAACAAGACTATCTCTATATTTGCCACAATAACCATATTAAACACGATTTCTATTTTCTGTTTTTTTTCCAAAACAACCTTCGATGGAGGGGGGGGGGGGGGGCATCAAGGACTATCTCGACGTCGGCGCAGACAGTGACTGCGACATTAACTTCATTAACCGTGTTAGACACGTGCGATTTCTATTTCATTAATATATCTGGAGTATCTGTCTACGAGAAAACAATTGCCTGCGGTTTTGAATTGTGTTTTCATCGCGACACAGTAGTAGGGACTCACATGTCTAATAGTTGAGTTCTCTTTTCGTTGTTCCCATTAAGTGGCTGCTTGGTCGAATGGTTAGAACACTGCGTTCATGTGCGGTAGACCTGGGTTCGAATCCGCAGTCGTTTAATTCTTTTTTACCACGGACTAAAATAATATCCTCATCTACTCTGTCGTGGTGACAGCACTAGCCATGTTGCCTTAATATTAAAAAAAAAAAAACAAACAAGTAAATGGGTAAACCATTTGATAATTAAATTTGACCATTTCGCATACTTATGATTGCATTGTTAAACTTTCCGATTGCATGGTTACGCTGAAATTTTATAGATTTTCATTTAGATTTAGTTATTTCATCTGTGTTGGAATTTTAAGCTGTGCTGTTTACAATGGCGTTCATTTCCTAATTATGGTGTTTTTTTCCTGTGTTCGTTTGCTTTTCAAGTGTTTTTTTTTCTCCCAACTACTTCAATGAGGGAAAGAGTTGTCGGTGAATTTGGGGGGAAGGGGGGGGGGCAAACTATTTACTGAGAGAGCTTTAAGTCACGTGAAGACCGCCGGTAAGGTTATGGCCTTCTTCTGTCGGCAAGTGAAATTATACATCCTAACCTGACCAGTCTGTGGCGACAGCACTAGCCATGCGGAACCAAATCTTCTGGCTCACGACTCTCTGTCTACTCCGATGGTAACACAGATAGCAGTGACATTATTTTAGTAGTTGTACTGGTACTTGAAGGATGATGTGGTAAATATTACACTAGCCCTATTCACTACCTTTTACAATTCCTGCTCCCTATTTTAGTCCAGATAGACAGGGATGTCAATGTCATTTACAGCAACAACAAAATATTGCCAGTTTGTGATTTTCAAATCCTTCGAAGAGGGAGAGAGCAGTAGTCGGTGGAAGAGGGGAGGGGGTAATGACTTAAATTTAAGAGAAATTAAAGAGCTTTACACTTGATTTTCAAGTTCTCATTACCTAATTTGTTTATATTTTACTAACGCTACCTCCGCTTTTCTATTTTTTTACGACTTACTTTGTTATTCACAAGTACAGTTGTAGCTTTACTTCCGTCTCCTATAAAAATACAAACAGCTTTAGCATGTGATAACCAAATAACCACTTTTGTTACCGTGCTAATAGCACCATTTAAACGACCACTAAAATAAAGACACAATTATATGGTGCGTGTTCTAAAGTTGGAAAACCAGACTATTTATATATATAAAAATATCATGTGTTTGTGTTTGTGTGTTTGTTTGCCCCTATAGACTCGGAAACTACTGAACCGATTTAGCTGAAATTTTCAGGATATGTTTGTTTTGATACCGGATTTTGAACCATCGTGGTTTGAAATCCAACCTGTCACTGTTAGAGATAGGTGACCACAATTTATGCCATAATATTCGCAACTAATATTTATAACTTTAGTGATTTCTAATTATAGCCACGTTAGTAATTGCGCATGCGCCGCCGTAGTCAGAACGCAAGGTTTCTGCCATTCGCCGGCGAGTTACGTGCAGCCAACGCCTTAATACATAGAGCAGGTCGAGGTACCGCAAACAAGACTATCTCTATATTTGCCACAATAACCATATTAAACACGATTTCTATTTTCTGTTTCTTTTTTCAAACAACCTTTGATTATTGGGGGGGGGGGGGGGGGGGCAATCAAGGACTATCTCGACGTCGGCGCAAACATTGACTGCGTCATTAACATCATTAGACAGGTGCGATTTCCATTGTATTTCTTTTCTAAAAACCTTTGATGAGGGAGAGAGTAGTAGGTGGATTTAGTTGTGGGGGTGGGGGGGGGTGGGGTGGGGATCAAAGACTATCTCAAATTACGCCACAGCAACGCGTGGCCGGGTACAGCTAGTAGGTTTATAAAATATAATTGTAGCCTCAAATGCTAGAAACTCCTGTTGACTCAGATTGACTCGTCAAAAGTTTTTCCTTCGAAGTCGGTGTGCGTGTGCCCGTGAAGCGAAGAACCAACAGTCTGCAAATAAATAAGTTAGATCTGTAAAACATATGTGGACGCAAACTCAAGTTCTTGAAGAAGACTAAAGTCTAGAAGTAGAAGAAAATCTAGAACTTTGACCAGAGTTTACAACCGGTGAATTCAAAGGAGGAGGGGAAGAAGAAGAAGTATATGCCAGAAGCGCGAAAGATGTCCTTTTTTTTACCGCAAGCAGGGGGCTGTGGTGGTCCAGTGGCTTCGGTACTTGCATTTGTCAAATCATAAGCTTTAATCCCCAACTGCCTCCAAAAACACCCAGTTTAAAATTGGTACCGGGAAATGCCACCGAATTTAAAGTTTTATAGACTGATACTGACCACATCAAAATGTGCCAGATTTGCCTAAAAACTGTTATATCAACCTAATTTTTAAATGGGCGGGAACAATTTGTGACTCTCCCCATGTGGGTTCCCGGGCCTCATTACAAGGCCCAAAGTAATACACACACTGTCACTTAACAAGCATGTCGTAAAATGTAGCTAATTTCATGTTTGCTGAAATGGGATGAATTGGCTCGAAAAGCGTAGACACTGCAGCTTAGCAGTAAACTACACCACGTCGTGCCAACTTCCCTTTTATGATCAAATGTAGAAGAAAAAGAAAAAAAAAGAAGAAGAAGAAGAAGAAGAAGAAGAAGAAGAAGAAGAAGAAGAAGAAGAAGAAGAAGAAGAAGAAGAAGAAAAAGAAGAAAAAACAAGAAGAAGAAGAAGAGGAGGAGGATTAACAAGAGAATAAGAAGGCAGAGAAAAGGAGGCGGAGGTAGTAGGAAAAGGAAGGAAAAGAAAAAAACTATGTGACTCGCAAAAGTAACTCTTTGTTACCTTCAACACAGCCAGTTGTTATGCTGCTTGTGCTGACAACAAAATTAGGAGAAAGTATCATTTACCTTTAATTTTATAGTATCTATCGTTTCATATGCAACCCATGTCGTGTTTGCATACAGATAAGCTGCACCGTTTGTTGCATCCAGTACACTGTTAGCGCCTCTCTGTAGAGCCACGCACGCCTGGTGAGAAGATACATACATGTATGTAGGTATGTATGACAACACCGGTCGAAATGGACGCTAGGCAGGGACACTGTTTGGAGCCGAGGCAATTTGTTTACTTCTGCCGGACGGTGACAGAAGCATTTTTGCTCTATTTGTAGACTAGATATTGTTTCGTCGCCCAGCTTCTGAGTTGAATGCATATCGTGACACTGTGAGCTGCGGATTTGATCTGGAATGTTTTTTTCGACTGTGACCAACGTGGTGGTGTGAATCGTAGATTTTAAAAAATTGCGCGATGCCTGTCGTCGCAATGTTGGTGGTGCCTGTATGTGATTAAAATTGATCGCGTAGGCAACTGCTGATCTGTTGGTGACTTATGCTACCATCAATGATGAACTGCATTTCTAATGTCGGACTGTTTTTGTTAGCACTTCGGATGGCTACCGTATGCTTTAATGCGTGTGTATGCTAGATTTGCTGAGACAGCAGTCTGTCAATCTTTCCACAAGGGACTATGATAAACATTCTGTGTGTTTTTCGTTGGCACAGGAGCTGAGCAAAGATGGGGTGACCCGTTTGCCATGAAGCTGAAACTAAGACTACCAGACTACCAGACCAGGTACATGTATGGGTCTTTTATTTGTAACATACAAGTTTACATACTACTTGAGTAATTAAATCCCCAGGTGGGCTCATAGACTAATTTTAAGGGTAGGGGATGGTGAATAAAACAGGTGCCTGTCGTAAATGATGACTAATTAAGGTTTCATGGAATCGGTTGTGCTATGCCAAACAGAAGCATGAAAATGAGCACACTTTAAAAATGGCATGTGCCGACTGTTTGTATTAAACTGCACTACAACTGGTCAAATAATACGGCTGCCCTTAACCGTTCAAATAGAGCATTTTAGCAACTTGTGTTATAAACAACGAATTGTGATTGAATTTCTTCTTGCAGAGAAGGAAACTGTTCTGGACATTCACCAGTATCTATGTGACATGCATAGAAGTTTTTTTAGGTTACAGAGATTGAAACTGTTGTGGACATTCATAAGCATCTATGTGGTATATATAGAAGTTCTCCAGTCAACGTGAGTACAGTCTGTCGCTGGGTTCAGAGAATGAAAGAATCAGGAAGTGGAGAGACATGAGGCTGCTTGATCGGCGTCATGTGGTTTCATATAAAAGTCTTTTAATGGTACCTAAATATCTCGAAGTAAAAGATCGCCAGTGACGCACTGGGCATATGAAACGAGAATAATATTTTATAGAAAATCAGCTTTCGATGTCTTATGTTGTCAACATCACCCGGGGCGCCGTTATTTTCTAGGACTTTACCTGGTACACATTTTAGACCGAGTCGACCTTGGAACCGAGGTCAGTTGAAAAAAAAAAACTCTGATTCCATGCTGATTCGAAACCAGTATATTTGAACTATATATTAATTATGAGAAATACATACATCCGGATACAAGTATAGGCCTTTGAAATGCCTATACGGGCCGGGACTTCCTTTACCAATTGCAGGAGAGTGCAAATCGTGCGAAGAAGCTTGAGCCAGAGTCCATGAGCGACCGTAGAGTGGAATGCCCAATAATAATTGGCCTGAAGGTAGTCCTACTTTAAGAAAATAGGTGACCAAGGCACTCTGAAAATAAAATAAAAATAATAAAAAAAATAATGTGATTAATGGGTACGATGGATTTGTATTTTTAATGTATTTTGTTGATACATTATTGTGAAATTTTTGTTCAAATATCAGTACCTTCGCGTTTTTTTCATCTAATCTTTCCCTTCCTTTGCCACCCCCCTTCCTTTTTTCCTTTTCTACCCCCCCCCCTCCCCCCCACCCCACCTCCCTGTTTTTGTCCCTTACAGTGAGATAGCAAAATTTTTATGTTTTAAATTATTAGTTTGTTTGTTAATGACTTTGGGTTATTAAAAGGTAGAGATCTGTCGTATATGAATATGGCTGTTCATGATTTTGCGACGGACTAAGTATAACTAAGGTTTTATCCTTTTCATTCAACCTTCATCTTTTTGACAGGAATGCAGGTGTCAGAGGCAATGAACGTACAGACTACCTCGCAGACAATGCGATTATTATGAGTGGTCCGGCTTTGTACAGAATCGATATCATAAATGACATGCGAGATTTCTATCGCAAAGATGATTACGACGATAAGAGTGATTCGCTATCTCTGACTAGGTTGGTGGATATGTGGGTACAACCAGATATAAACATTTCACAAATTTCACAAGACCTTTGATTATTCACTACAAAACGGGCGTGGTTAGTCGTATCACGCTTGTGGGTCTGCTGAAGAGGAGAACAGAGCACCAATGGATTCATACCGTGTTCTATAATGAATCCGAGATGAGATGCATGAGAGAGGCCGCCAACTTAACTTTCCGAGATTGAGTTTTTTTTTTTTTTTATTGATCACCGGCTGTGAATTCCAGTGGAAGGTCCCGGTTAATCGTCCGCTTGGACTTTTGGCTTTCACCTGGACCTGATTTTTGCGTGTACAACCGTTTTTCATTTCCCTGCCTCATGGTCAGCTGTACTCCGTCCGACTTCGAAGGAAGACGTCAGGCCTATTTCTAGGTTGACTGTGGCCATTGTTTTGTGTGGGTCGTGACGTTGCCTGATTTGTGTGGTGTCCACTTTGTCCCCTTCGCTGTAGGTATTGCCCTCGGAGTACCCCTTTGGGGCAGCCCCCTGTGGAACAGTTAGCCCTCAAGTAAAAGGCGAAAGATTTATGCGTTGTGAAGAGAAACCAGAGTTAGCCCTCAAGGGAAGGCAAGGGCAGATCATGGGCATTCCCCGCCATCCAAGGAGGCTTCCATGCATGCAGAGCAGGCACATGGCGCTCTGGTTCTGGGCTCACCCAAGGAATCGTCACGTCCTGCACATGCCTGCTTAACCTCACAACCGTATCAGGCCTCCCGCTCGACAGGGGCTGCGCCCTCTGGAAGTCAGCGGGGAGCAGCCCGTGGGTTTTGGACTTTTGTGACCACACAGATAGGTACATTCTTTTTTTCCTCGCACGTTATATTTCTTTGACGAGCCGTTAGCCCGACAGAATTTTACATCCTGCATCAGGCATATCGTTATCAGTTTTGTCCCAACACTCGGGCGAGTGGGGTCTTTGGGTGTGGACATTCGGTCTTTTTCAGTTCAATACAAATTTTGATGGTCAGATTTTGATCCGCATGATCTAGTTTTGTCGGACAATTAGGCTTAGCCATCCGATGGTTGGTTGCTGTTGTGGTGTACCTCAGCGCGGTGACGACGACACTGAGGGTTAACCGAGGATGTACAAGGATGGCCAGCCTACGGATGGTTGCTGTTGTGGTGTACCTCAGCGCGGTGACGACGACAATGAGGTTTAACAGAGGATGTGCAGTGAACAATGTTCTCTTTACTCCGCAGTCTTTTAACCAAGGGTTGTAATTTTGGCTGTACGTTTGGCAGACCTACTCATGTTCCTAATGAGTTTTGGTAACATTTTTCACCCAAGCGTTTGGGGGCGGGCTGATGAGAGCCACAAGGACACATCACCTCTGGGGGACGCCGAACTCCGAGATCCCCTGACAGCTCTGTTAATGCTCATTTGAGACATTATCCGTGGCGCACGACGAGGACGTGCTGCAGGGGTCTTGCGTGAGGTTCCGTACAACCAGGATAGTAAAGGACTGGCGCCCGAGTGACGTACGGAGTATCTCCTTACACACATCAAGTTGGACTTAACTTCCCCTCACGCCTGTGACATAAATCACCGCGCCACGAGATTGAGTGAATAATGATACTATCAGACAAACTGTGGGAACGACACCTTGTACTAGATTCACAGAGAAACAGCAGATAAAGTAGTTTGGCCATCTCGTTAAAATGCAGCAAGATCAGACACCATCACAAGCACTACATCTAAGATGATGAGCTACAAGAGCAAGAGGACTACGGTATTAAAGACACTCTACGTCTTCACGGCACATCAATAACCAATGACAGACAGTGTGCACTGGATCGCAAAGTATTCCTACCCAGGTCGCTTAACGACAGAAGGGTTTATGATGATGATAATGGATAACTGATCAATAGAGGAAAAGCTACGGCGAAGGGACAAGTTGCTGATCCTTTGCAGAATCTTGCTCTTATCCTGACATGCCAGCAAGCCGTTCGGTTGTCGGCCACCTCACAAACTTTCATGCCAGGGTGTCCTTGATATTATGTGTCCACAATTGTGCTAGTCGACTATTGCCTCGTTTAAGCAACGACAACCTCCGATTCTCTTCTCTCCAAACTATTAAGACGTTTAACATGGCCCACATTTTTCAGTTTACGAAGGCCAAAAAATCCCCTGTTTACGAGCCAATCCCCGTCGCTGAGAATGTCAGTATTTTTCTTTTATTGTCTTTCTGGATCTTTGATATTCTAACACAGCGGTTCTCAAACCGTTTTCGCTGCGGCACCCTTGTCGTAAAAAAAAAAAAAAAATCGCGGCACACCTATCCTTAAAGCGGTTTGAATACTTAGGAAAAGAAGAAAAATCAGTGCACATTTAATGTTCGGTTGTCTTAAATGAGATAAATGAAACTCTCTTGAAAAGTTTTTCAATATTTCCTTTATGTATATGAGTACTTTAGTTAATTTTACCCACAAATCACTTGACCTAGAAAGTTTGCTCCTGCGGTTTTTTTTTTTGTAAGTGTACGTTCAAAAGGTCTTACGCCTTGCTAGAAGCATTGTCTTCTGAATACATTGCGCCGGATTTTTCTGCTGGTGAACGTTATGAAGAAGAAGAAGAAGAAGAAGAAGAAGAAGAAGAAGAAGAAGAAGAAGAAGAAGAAGAAGAAGAAGAAGAAGAAGAAGAAGAAGAAGAAAAGAAGAAGAAGAAGAAGAAGAAGAAGAAGAAGAAGAAGAAGAAGAAGAAGAAGAAGAAGAAGAAGAAGAAGAAGAAGAAGAAGAAGAAGAAGAAGAAGAAGAAGAAGAAGAAGAAAAAGAAGAAGAAGAAGAAGAAGAAGAAGAAGAAGAAGAAGAAGAAGAAGAAGAAGAAGAAGAAGAAGAAGAAGAAGAAGAAGAAGAAAAAGAAGAAGAAGAAGAAAAAGAAGAAGAAGAAGAAGAAAAAGAACAAGAAAAAGAAGAAGAAGAAGAATCCATACCGAAGCAAGATTGTGTTTTAATTTACTGCGCTAAATGTTTACTAAGCTACAAAGTGGTACATTTTAACGGGTACCAGGTACAGCCCTGGGAAGTAAGACGGCCTGTGTGATGCTGATCATATCACCAACCAAGTTCAGATTGATCTATTACATATAGGTCTAGCCCTTTATGTCCTTTACGCTTAAAGGTGCCAAAAAGGGTCCTTTACTGTTTACTTTTAAAGTGGTACCTGGCAATGTTTTCGGAAGTATAGCGACAAATTAAATACACGAGCCAGCGAATGACTTCGTAACCCCGAACTACTCCCCCCAATGGCTTCGGGTGGTTGACTGCGCTTCACAGTAAGATCTTGTGCCGTTCGCTTAAAGAAGGCTGGCTACACTACCCACTGCTGCCTTTAGAAACATCACGCGGTGAGGCCCCAATATCATCTACGGTGCGACTCTCGTACTGTCGTCTGAAAATCATGAACATCATAAAAAAAGTATCACAGGATTTTTTTTTCAGAAAAAGTGCGTAACACTGGAACATTTTTGGAAGACCAAAGAAATTAAATTTACTACTAAATTTAGAATATTTAACTGTATCGTTAAATCAGTACAGTGTTTTTGGAAGAAATACGGAGAACGACTACAACTAATTACTGATAAATTATTACAAACATTTATTACTCGGTACCCGAGCAGAATACAAGAGCTAATGTCGCCGATACTGAATAGGACACACACTAAGAAAACCTTATAATAATAAACAGTATCTTATAACAATGTCCTTGCAGTGGAAGCCACATAGCAAAAGAAACAGAGAGAGGCCTAAGTCCCACTGTAGAGGCTGAAAAAAAGACAATAGAGGGCAGAACGGTTTAGAGTGAACTGGTTAAGGGCAAATGCCTCAAAGGGAAATAATATGGGAGGGTGTGGGAAGAATAATTTAGTGAGGACAATATTGGCCCTGCAACAACGTGACCAAAGTACACGAGTTCACTCGTGGGATCATTTCCCTGTGCTTCGGTTTGATTACCATTAATTTTATAACCCAAAGGTATCTCAAGCAGTGCTCTATTCTCATCCAAATAGTCACACAAAGAATCTCAACACACTGCATGAATTCCGTTTTATTTAAAGTGTGTTATATATTTTATGACTGTTCTTTCAATTTGTACGTATTGTTGTTTGTGACTGTAACATTGTCAGTGTGTTGTATGCTGATGAAAGCTTTTTAGCCGTAACGTTCATTTTGTCGCTCGTGGTTGTGATGTAGACTGGTTCTGCTTCTCGTTTGGAGTGATATTTTTTTCATGATACATTTTGTAGCATCGCCAAAGATCACCAATACTTGTACCTGTTCAAGAAAGTGCCTAGCAGCATTCAGCTTACCGCAGACAAGTACTGGCTTTCTCCTTTAGGTGTGTACAAAGGACTGTTGTAACCTGTTGTTGTGTCTTTCTTCGTGAAGAGGTGGAAGTCATAGGCCATGACTGTCATAAAATCCATGTTGCTTGAAATTGAATAAATTACAAAGTTTCAACATTTTGATTTAAAGTATTAGGCTTTTATGAAATTCAGGGTTTTCAAAACGGATTAACTGAATTAAATAAATTAGTCAAGACTTTCAATAAGAAAGTAAGAATAACGATTTTAAAACAAAAATTGTTTAAACATATATTCATAGTTTTCAGTATTAACTTTGATAAAAGGTTATTGCGTATCCTTTACAGGGCGTTGCAGAACCAACCCCAACAGCTCCTGGCTGTTGTGTGGTTTTTCTAGGCAATTTACGTCCAGTAGTTTGCCATTGTTTTCTGGGCGGTTGACTTTCTTGATACCACTGTCAAAACCAACGCAAGGCGCATGGCCCGCAGCTGGGATCAAACCCGGCATCCCGGCATTACGAAGTGTTCGCATCGACTTAGCCACAGAGCCGACTTTTAACTTTGATAAGTTGGATTTATTCATTTTTGTGCCTTATTTTATGTTGATATAACTGTAGTAACGTACCTGATGAGATACAGCGAAATATGCCTGGCAATAAATTGGGTAATGTATTGTTTGTGTCCGCATTATTTAAATGAACTAAGGCACAGCATGTGAAATTTTACGACATTGCGTTAAAATAAGTAAGCGTATTTCAGTGACCGGTGCGTTTTACAAGTAGAAGATGAAACGATGCTAGCAAACAGTCACATTATTACACCTAATAATGAAACACATTTTAAAAATAAATAGTCACTTTATATTGGATTTGTGGACTTACCACGAAGAAACAAGAAGTAAGGCAGGGACGTTTTTTTGTGTCACCTAACATCTTTCTCGTTGGATGTCCAAAGAGAGTTTTAAAATGTTATGTAGAACCTATATTGTATGGTAGTGAATCATGGAATGTGAATGCACAAATTAAAAAGAATTTGAAGCAGATGAAGATGTTTTTTTTTTTTTTTTTTAGATGAATGTTAAGAATCCCCTCGACTGCCAGAGGAACTAACGAGGACCTTTTGAAGGAAGCTAGTGAAAGCAGATCAATATATATATATATATATATATATATATATATATATATATATATATATATATATATATATATATAGTTATAAAGAAAGGACACAAGCACTGTTTTTGGTCATGTGATTATGGGAGGAGGGGGGAGGTTGGTGAATATTGTGAGGACTGGGAAGATCAAAGGTAGAAGAAGGAAAGGCAGATCGAGAGAGACAATGGCCTATGGACTGTGACGGTGGCACAGAGGGAAATCATAGCTGGGACTGATCCAGAGGACAAGGGCCGGAGATTTGTGGAGTTGCTTGAACGCCTACGCCAGTCGGCAGGGCACGTGATGATGACAAGGGGCATGACAATTTAAACTGTTGCTAGAAGCGCGTTATAAGAAAAACAGCATGGAACATGCTGTGATCATAAAACGATTTGTGAGAAGATTGAATGAATGAATGAGATTTAACCCCACCAGGACATTCACCACGCGATAAACACCCGGCAACACTAAGTGCCACCTTGCGGATGTGGATCACCCGGAGAAAAGTCCCAGAAACCCCGTTCAACCGTTAGGTTATATTAGGGCCCCCGACTACAGCCGGTGTGGGGCTTCAAAACAACGAAAAATGGCGTCCTGTATCAATGTACTGGGAAGATTACTGATTTAAGAATGACATCATAGCATACCGGACCGGCTACTAAATCCCTCCTAATCCCTCAGCAAATGTCTTAAGGTGGAAATGCTAACTGTTCCAGTAGCACACTGGCTGTACGCACACTGTGCTCTTCCTCTCATTCATCTTTTCTTGCCAGATCCACACTTAACTGCAACTTTGAACAATCTTATACTAGTTATTTATTCTAAAATCGTATCTTCCATCAGTATCAATTCATTAATGGTTTCCAGAATGTCTTCCTTGTCCAGTATTAGTGCCATTGTTGTAGCTAACAAATCCGCTCGTTCATGCCCTCGTTCTCCTACATATCTCAGACAATGTATCCACTCGAGTCCCTGTAATTTAGATTCAGCGATGCTTGTTATCCACTTATGCCACAGTTGTCCATTCTGAATTTTTCGCACTATTAACTGAATCAGACACTATTATTCCCTTGTTAACTCTTCTGTAGAAAGGTAGAGGAAGACAACGCAAGAAGATGCTTGACATACTTTTTTTCATGACACGCAGGGGCGTCAGAACATGATATGATATATGCTGTTGGAGATAGCAGGATGTGGACAGCAATAATAGCCCACACCAGTCTACGAGACACTTGATGACCAGGGAAGTTGGAATCTAGGAGCTTAGACTTCTTGAGCTCTCCTATCAAAGGCTCCAACGACTACACTTTAAAAAAAAGGGTGAATCAGCGGTTCTCAACCATGCGGGTCGCGATCCTTTTCTGGGTCGAACTACCCTTTTATAGGGGTCGCCTAAGACCATCGGAAAACACACATTCATTAAAGTTATGAAGTAGTAACGAAAATAATTGTATGTTTGTGGGTCGTCACAACATGAGGAACTGTATTAAAGGATCATGGCATTGGGAAAATTGAGAACCACTGTTGTAAGGGGAATCAGGTGCTCCGCCCCCCCCCCTCTCCTTTTCCCACCCTCCGAACCAAGTACAAAAGTGTTGTTTCCAAGTGTTTGTTTATAGATTTTATGTTTTTTTAATCTAATAATTTATTCGTCATTCAGCATATTATTATTATTATTATTATAAGTTCCACTGGTTATGACTACGGAAAAGATTTTCTGAGGCACTTGAACAGAACAGACCAAGTCACAGTTTTTCGCTTACGCACTGGACACTGCAGACTCAATAAACACTCATATAAATTAGGTATGAGCCAAACAGCTCTCTGCCAGTGTCTTCGTGCTGAACAGACTCCAGAACATGTCCTGCAAGACTGTCCTCTCCTGGCGGAGCTGCGGAGCGACATATGGCAACACCCAGAAGAACTGACAACTAAGCTTTGGGGAAACCTAAGAGACCTTGAAAAGACATCCCAGTTTATGACCCACAGTGGATTATGCGCATGACCAGAGATCGCTGAAGAAGAATTATAAGTTCTCTACACCAGCCATAACCCGGTAACAGTGTGACGACAACAAATTATTAGTGTGCATTTAGAAAAAAAAAAGTCCTATGTTTCTTGAGGCCCTCTGCAAAATTTGTAATGCGACTTTACCCCCCCCCCCCCCCCCCCCCACCACTTTTTTCTTTTTTTTTTCCTACTATCCCCTGTCCCCCATAATTTATTCGTTTGTATGATTATTATACCTAATACTTTTTCACACAAATGCAAGTTTTGCTACTTCCTTCTCATGTGATTAATTAAGACAAAGCGAAGGATACATTTCTGTGATTTGAGACGTATTGGGCATTGATCCTAACCCTCACCGGGGTGTGTTTCCGGGGCCCCATTGCGCGGGACAAAACGAATAACCCCCCCCCCCCCCCCCCCATCTGCTCCCACCTCCCGTTCCAATAATAATTTAGTAAGAGGTGACTAATTGAGGGTGTTTCCTTCAGAGTCGAAGAGCTTCTGCTTGAGGCGAGGAACCAATAGTCTGCATACAAATAAAACAATTTCAGTAAAACGGATGTGCACGCAACATTCGAGTCCTGGCACAATGTCATATTCCAGAAATAGACGAACAACCAAAATTTTCTTTCGGAGTTTACAGCCGGTGCACGCGAATAAGAGGAAACGGGGCTAACCCCATATTTGTCAGCCGACACTCAGTGGGCTATGTCACATCAACCTGATCTCCTCTACAATGCAGAACATCTCCATGGTGTGCTTGTACAAAATGCATTTACTGACCTCGAAAGACAATTCACGTCATATCCTGTGAAATAGCTTGGGTTATTGGGTAATGCTGCTGACAGTAACATCTTGGCTCCAACTATTTCTTTGCGTAAAATCTGTGAATAGTAACAAATGTGATGTTCATGAAGATTTTCTGCGATAACATTTTAATTTTCAGTAGCTGATAACTTCACTTTCATTAATTGATCAGGCCTTTGAAGAGTCATCAAAACAAAACGAAAAAATGTGCATCAACATTATTAACCTAGCTGAACACTGTAAGTTAATATGGTTTGAGGTTTGAACAACGGATCAACATCATGGCACACGGGTAGTAACCCATAAGTGCTCCGTTTTTCTTCTAACTCAAGTCTGAGTTCGAAGAAGCTCAGCACAGTGCACAGGCTCTGTAGCACTGGCGAGGATCCTGAAATAATTTTGGTAGATTTTCAACTCCAAATTTTGCCCAGGCAGACCCGTTAGGCTACTCTTTTCGAACTGCCAAAGGTTTTTTTACGTGCGCAACAATAATGTACACGGGCGTCCGATCTCACTACCTAGAGACCAGAGGGAATTACTAGAAGTCCAAGTCCACGTGAAAAAATTCCAGCTCTCACCGGGAATTGAACCAATAACATCTAGCACTCGAGGCGGACACCATGCCTCGAGACCACGCAGCTCCCCTGTAAGTTGATATAATATACAGAACTAAACGTGGTTAACCCCTTGTTGGTTCCAGAGAAATCTTTGGGTGCGTGGAGAGGGATAGAATCCCTGCGCCCTAACAAGCATATCGTTAAAGGCTTCAAATTAGCAGTTTCCTGAATTAGGAAGTTTTTGGGGCGAAAGGGGCAGATATCGCAACCTAGCTATAATAAGGAAATCACAATTTTAACTTCGAAGCAAAGTAGACCACCCAGTAATTGCACCGATCTCATGCCAACCTAAGAAAACCGCACAGTGTGTCCATCATTGTCTCTTAAGTCAAAATTGACACAAATTGCAGTCTCGGTATATGCAATAGCATTCACACGCATAAGACACTCCTCAGAAGTGCTAACACAAACCGTCCAGCACACTTTTTTTTCTTCGTGCGAAGTCATCCCCTTGTGGGAAGCAATTTTTTCGTTATTTTGAAGCCGCACCCTGGCTCCTGCCAGGGGTCGCAATATAGCCCGACCATAAATATCGTCTAATGGCTGAACGCTGTTTCCGGGACCTCTCCACCGGTGATCCTCATCAACTTGGTGGCACTTTGTGTCATCGGTTGTTTATCGCTTGTGTGGTGTCATGGTGTGGTAGAAAGTTAGTCAGTCCGTTTGGCACTAGAAAGTTCGTTTATTATTAATGAACAGCCTAGCTGTAAATCACAACACAACGTGGCAGTGTCTTACGACAGAAAAAAAAAAAAAAAAAGAAGAAAAAGAGTAAGAGGAGAAAGATAAGAAAAAGTGAGGGGGTTAATGTAACAAATGCATACGACACGGCTACAAACAACACACAGTATAAGGTGGAATCAAGACCGTCTCCGTCAGATGGAGACGGTCTAGGTGGAATATCCCCGTGTGGGTTACAGGGACCCTTAGTGGGGAAAACAAGAATAGACCCACTGCCTCTTTAACAAGCATGTCGTAAGAGTCGACTATTTGAGGCTTCCTTCGAAGTAGGAGTGCATCTGCCTGAGATGCAAGGAATTAAAAGTCAGCATACCTCCATGCAGAACGGCTAGCCACTTGCCGAGAGCGCCGCGCAGAGCACAAACTATGTAGCTCTGGCAACGAACCCCTTGGAATATCCGAAAAAAATGCACTCGTGAACTGAAGCCTGTGTTGCAGAAGCCGTGAAACCAACCCACGACCTTCAGAGCGCGAAGCAAACAGCTTGACCACTTCGCCACAGAAACGCCCACTTATCTTGTTTCTGTGTATCTACTTCAGTCAACAGTGATTGAGCATCAAAATCATCATCTGATTATCCTTGTGTGCTAATACAAGTTACAAGAGGCTCAGTTTATTCATCCATTCTATTATATCCTTTTGCAATTGTGTCAGTCATGGGTGGAATCCAGCCCAGTACTCTCTCATCCACGGTCGTCAAGGAGTTTTGAACGTCCTCGCTTCCAGGATTCATTCATTTCCAATTTTATTTCAGTGCCTGACTGGTGATTTGAATTCAGTTTCCCAGGATTTGCCGAACATATCGTGGTGCCAAAAAAAAAAAAAATCATAGTTGGTACAATGTGAACACTTTTCCACACCATACCATACAAAGCATACATGGAAAGAGAAGAAGGACGTAGAACACGGGGTAGACCAAGAACAAGATGGAAGGATAACATCAGAGAAACTCTACAACGGCACGATGTGCCTATGGTCGAGGCAGCCAGAAGAGCTAGAAACAGAACCTTATATCTCGACACCCACAGCGGTAAAAGAGGAAGTGAAGAAGAAGAAGAAGAAGAACACTTTTCCACTAAAGTTCCTCAGGGAATGAAGTTAAACTCCACCCAGGACCGCACACCGAACGATAAACATCCTGTGACACAAAGTGCCACCATGAGAATCGCCCAGGCTAAAGTCTAGGTACCCCGTTTAACCGTTAGGTTTTATTAGGGCCCCCAGGAAAAGTTAAAGTTACTCACTTCAATAAATGTCTTATAGCTGTTCTTATCACTTGCGGTCGGGTATTCCCAGTCCAGATCGACGCCATCAAATCCATTGTCCGCGAGAAACTTTACTGCTGACTGTGAAAATCTGAAAGATTCACTCAAATGAATTCAGCTTCTGGTATAATGTTATAATTATAATATTTCAATATCTTCTTCCTCCATTCCATGCTTTGTGGTGTTGGTAGTCATGTTTATCCACAATTGTATGTCTCGTGCACTTTCAGTGAATTCTGATACAGATGATCTTCCATGTCATGATTTGTCCAGCATCTTCCCCCTCAGTTTCTCCTGCCTCTCTTCCCCTCCAAATTCCCACCGTCACGATTTCTTAAGTTGTCTCCATCTCAGACATGACCACACACACACACACACACACATACACACGCACACACACACATACACACAGGCACACACAGGCACACACACAGACACACACACAGACACACACACATACACACAGGTACACACACACACACGCACGCTCGCGCGCACACACACACGCAAACGTAGATTGTCTCCTTCTGATATGGGCAGTTAGTTCTCTTCGTGAGTCAAAATCTTTAAAGACATCTTCATTACTTTGTTTATCTGCCCAGTGTCTTCTCACTATTCGTCTATAAAATTGCATCTCCGTCGCATAGAATTTCAGCAAAGGCTGAATTATATTATGAACACAACATTACCTGTAAAATGATGGTTATCTTTACCACAACACATCCACTTTAAATTGTTCATTTTATAACCTATTCCCTGAAGCGTAAGTGTTCCTCATGCGTGCCGAAACCAAGAAATCTTAGAAGTTAAGGTGTGGGGTGTGGGGCTTACCTCTTTATAATTTTCAAAAAGACATATTTAAGGTGCTTGAGCCTTGTTTAACTGTGCAATAATAATTATTAATATGTGCTGATAGGCAAACCAACAATAATATATATTCGAATTGAAACAATAGGATACACATACACAAATACGATAAAATAGAACGCCTATACATGGTTCGGGCTGCAAACAACAAACTTTCTAGGAGGCGACGGCTCAGCCCCCCCCCCCCCTCTCTTTCTCTCCCCCCTAGAATTCCCAATTGAATTAGCAAGCTTGCCTGCGGATCTGAAGGTCGTTTACTCGGTTTCTGACGGAGCCTGGCTTTTTCACAGATGATCTTGTCTCCCAGGTTGACACAACCATAAATGGGTACACGGTGAAGTCATAGAAAGTAAAGGCGGCCGATGTGATGCTAGACACATCACATACAGAGTGCTGATTGGTCTATAAAATATAGGTCTAGCCCTAATGCCAAAAAAAAAAACCGCCTGAAAACTTAGCAAAGGGTCCTTTATATTTTTATTTTTATTATCTATGAAACATTAACACATACAATTTAAATAGGATAAATACGCTTTCAATGTCACTATGAACCTTTTCACTGTCCCTTGATCAGCTCCTACTACCGAAGGAAATCCGTTCTGCAGGGACAGCAGGATCTTCAAGCTTGGATTCGTCTTCTTTAATTGCACAAGCGTCCTGAAAATCAAACATAAAAATGCTCACGCTATGGATATGGAACTGCCAAATTTATCAGGTGTGATATAATGATATGATGCTGTTTATTAGCCAGTCTTCCTTGATGATCAGATCTTTTAAAATACAGACATATATAAAAGATTTCAACATAAAAGATCTGAATATTAAGGAAGATTGGCTAAAAAAAAAACATCATATCGGAAGCTTAAATATTTTGGTAATTCAAACGCCATGGCGGATTGGAAAAAAATAATAGCAGAAGGCATTGTACTAGAAAGGAGGGACAGGGGCCTACCAAAACAAAAATGGGCAGAGGATATAAAGACTCCTTGAATATGAAAGTACATGATGAGGGAGGTAGGTAAGTAAGTTGTACCCCACCAGGACATCACACAAACGATAAACACTCAGTGACACATAGTGCCACCATGCAGATAAGGATCACCAGTGGAGAGGTCCCGAAAACCCTGTTTAGGCTTGCGAGAGACAGAGTTTCTTTCTGGCAGACCGCGATGAGAGCGACGTTCTGCAAAGCACATGCTACACGATGCTGGTACAATGTAAGAAACAGAACTCTCGCATGCTATATAGAGACAGTTTTACCACATACCGGACAGTTATAAACAAGCCAAACGATTTCTTGACACCTCAGAAATTTGGTTTTACAGAAAAATCCTTAGGAACCCGGATGTTTTGAAAGGGGCGAAGGCTCGAAATTAGCTTATCAAAAACATCAGAAAGAGGCAACTAATGCTTTTTTTTTTTTTAATTGGATGTGTTGGCCCGAAAGAAGCAGACAGTATAGCTTATCTGTAAATAAAATAACATGTCAACCGCCCTTTTAAGGATGAACGCAGAAAAATAAACATCAGCTCGACTTCAGAGTCGCCGTGATGTAGCAGCTAGACGCTCGCCTGCGTATCGGAAGGTCGTGGGTTCATGTCTTGACGTAGCGGGAATTTTTTCTAAAATAACCTGACTCCCAAGCTGACCCAGCCTTGAGTGGGTACCAGATGCAGTCATGGGAAGTAAAGGCAGTCGGCGTAATGCTAACCACATCTCCAACCAAGTGCCGATTGATCTATAAAAATATAGGTCCATCCCTATATTCCCAATACACCTAAAGGAGTGGAAAATGGACCTTTAATTTACTTTTCTTCTTTGAAGAGTTGATGTTAAATAATTAATATAATCCTATATTTAGTTACGATTCTAGAAAAGTAAAAAGATCATTCTTCAGCGATTCTTCTTCTTCAGCGATCTCTGGTCATGCGCATAATCCACTGTGGGTCATAAACTGAGATGTCTTTTCAAGGTCTCTTAGGTTTCCCCAAAGCTTAGTTGTCAGTTCTACTGGGTGTTGCCATATGTCGCTCCGCAGCTCCGCCAGGAGAGGACAGTCTTGCAGGACATGTTCTGGAGTCTGTTCAGCACGAAGGCACTGGCAGAGAGCTGTTTGGCTCATACCTAATTTGTGTGAGTGTTTATTGAGTCTGCAGTGTCCAGTGCGTAAGCGAAAAACTGTCACTTGGTCTGTTCTGTTCAAGTGTTTCAGAAAATCTTTTCCGTAGTTATAACCAGTGTTGGTTTTCCAATCTGTTTCTGATTTTCTCCTAATGAGAGTTTTGACTTCTAGAAAAGATAGTGGCTGGTAGATCTGTGGTTTGTTACTGCCTTCCTTGGCTAAAGCATCTGCGCTTTCATTGCCTTTGATGCCACAGTGAATTTCTGCCTTATTTGACATCATAGCAAGTTCCTGTGTTAGACTTTGTAGTGTGCTGTCGGTAGGTTTGGACTCTAGGGCCTGTATAGCTGACAGTGAGTCAGTCAGAAAAACTATCCTGCCTGCGGTAATTTGCAGATTGTTCATATACTGCGCTGCCATCAAAAGGGCTGAGAGCTCTGCCTAGTAGAGCAAGTTCGTCCGGTGGGGGCTGCTAGGGACACAGTAGTGGCATCTGGGTGTTGCCCCACCATTCGTAGTTGCCTCTTTTGCTGATCCATCCGTGTAGATTCTCGTCCAGCTGTCCTGTGGGAACATGTTGTTGAGGTGTTCCATTGTGAGTGCTTTCTTCACTAAAGCGGGCTCAGCATCTTTGTTTCCCAGGTTCGGGATGGATGTTGACACATTGAGTGTCAAAGATCATTCAAGAAGTCCCTATTTGAGACATACGAAAAGCAGACGTTTCCTTGCCAATAATATTTAATCATTACTGAGAGTTCCTCAAAGCAGTCGTTTTGAATACAAAATGTAATTTAAAATATATAATTAATAAATATACAGATTGCTAGGCCGTTTATTAAGTTCTGTTGAAACAGATTACAAGTGATAGAAATGTGAACATTTGGAGTAGTCTTTCTGTAGCCTACCTGTAATTTTGCAAGTCGCCTGGTGACTGAGGTTGTATTCCTTCCACGTCAACTCTACCAAAGGCATAGATAATATGAGTACACACATTGGCTGGCACTTGAGAAACAGGGAAGTATGAGGTTGCAGTGTAATAACAGACCATCAGTGGTCGTGCTGCTACGTTTCCATGGAGACCGCGTGTATTTAGGGAAAACATAAAACATGTGTCTCAGATCTAATGAATTCATATTAAATAAGGGTCTAATGTTATGTAGAAAATACAAGTATATTTCGCGTAGGGTTGAGCTGAGTTGAGAACCAGCTTCAAAACAATTAGGGCATCTCCATAAGCCAAGGCTGTTCACTTCAAAGTGACCCGTGGATCATTGCCAATTGTAGTAGTAGTAAGTTGTACCCCATCAGGACATCACACAAGCAATAAACACCCGGTGACACAAAGTACCACCATGCGGATGAGGATCACCTGTGGAGAGGTCCCGGAAACCCCGTTCAGCCGCCAGGCTATATTTAGGGCCCCCGGCAAAAGCCATGGTAGGGCTTCAATTGCCAGTTGTAATTTATTAGTGATTTTTACATGATGGGATTCAGACCTCTGGCCAGTGAGGATCCCCATTTTAAAATTTTGGCACAGGAATAAATTTAGTTTAATAATCCTGTCATAAGCCCTTCTCACCTATCTTCAACTGGCAGTTCCAATAGCAAACGTGTCTTTTATGATCTCATTATATATCCACAATCCGACAGTATTTATAAATAATCAAATTTTGCATAGATAATCCAAACAAATGTTACGATTCAAACCACTTTTACATACAACGTTAAATTAAAAAAAGCTTTTTGACACTATTGAGGCATGGGGTATAAGTTCTTCGGGAGAAAGGTAAACGAGAACAGAGAGTTAAACAAAGAAAGTTAATACTAAACAAAACAATAATTTACAAAGTCATACAAACGTGTATCACTTTGTATACATCAAATAACACAAGGTCGTAAACACAAATAAAATCATGGCCTGGCCAGGTTCATGGCGACTGCATCAGCTTTGTTGTCCTAAAATCACCAGGCTCAAGAACGCCATACACAAATGTGTTCAAAAAGTGGTCTATACAAGCCACGCTTCTTCTTCTTGTTCGATCTTTCTGTCAGAAAACTTATATCAGGAGGCCAGTATTCTTTATGAAAGCTATCGTGCAGTCCATATATTCTCGTGTACTATACAGATTTGTCTTCTTTGTGCAGGAACAGGCCTGACTGCATCTCTGTTGTCAGCATACAGTTGACAGTGTTGGAGCACATGCTCACCATTTTCGGGTGCCAAGTTACAGGGACACGTCTCCGTATTTCCTGCACAGAAAAGTTTGAACATATGTTGACAAAGTTTGTTGTGCCCTGTCCTTAATCTGAATATAATACACTGTCCCTCTCTAGAGAGGCGATGAAGCGAATTTTGAGGAGAAAATTTGGTGTGTGTATCCATCTACTTTTCTTGGATATTAGATTGTATTAATGTCTTTGTCTCTCTGTGGGATAAGTCACTATTTGGTTGCACTATGTCACTGCCGCTTTTGGCGAACCTGTCCGCTATTTCATTGCCTCCCAAGCCACAGTGACATGGAATCCACTGCAGTACAGATTGTTCGACTGAAGAGCCTACGTGAATCAGCTGTTGCGTCAAGTCTACTAACTGTGTGTCTTTTTGCTTGAAAAACTGACATAGCATTAGTCAGAAAGACCACTCATCTATATTGCTTATTGTCCATTCAGGAAAGAACATGCCACCAGAAGTGCATCTGCCTCTGCTCTGTAATTGGAGTCTATACAAGCAATAAAGATAGTTTTTCAGTAAAGCACGGGTGTCTAAGGCTCTCACAGCAGTCTGCTATATGTCCACCAATCTGTGAGAGGAAGCCCCTTTATCTTTGTCATAATGTCTTTTCATTTCGGATATCGCTTGCTTTCTACTTTTATAGACTCTCTTAAGTGACAGCAAGTGAATTTTTAAATGAGAAGTGGCTCTCACACCTGAATCGGTTGGCCATTACTGAAATGGTTGGCACCTTTCCGTCTTTCCAGACGGCAATGTTATGCTGTGCTATAAGGATAAATGGGAATCATAGCCTACGATGATGGTGAGTGTGACTAGAAAGATCTACCTCGAGTAAAAAAAAAAGGGTTTTCCACAGTGTGAGAATTGGATTTCAGGGCCATTGCTGATATAGCATGTTTTCAATGTGTTTCTTCTCTGATGCTTAGCTCCTAACCTATCTGCAGTCATCGACTCCTTCATCTGTATTCCCTTCCTGGTTTCCTCCTCTATGCAGCACGGTTCAATGCATCCTTTTCACAAGAAAGCAGTTAATACATGTATCAGTCTATGTCCCGTTTGCATACATCTTTCAATTTAAGAAGATGCCAACCTTGACATCTTCCACCCATGTGTACTTTACCATAGAATTTCTACTTTACATTCTAAGATACTTAGCCCTTTGAAGCTGAAACTGGTTTGATTTAAACATAATATATAACATTCATGTAGTAAGTAACTTTTGAAAGATCTTAATTGTTTTGTAAAAACACTGTTTTAGTTACTTTCATTATTGGCTTCTTAATATGTGCTAACATCTACTTAAATGTAATGTTACCTACCATTTACAATCCCGTGGAGAGATAGCAGCAGAGTGACAAGGATATCTTGAAGTGTCCGTGGAATCATTATGTGTTGCAAACCGCACTCCCTGTTAGAAACAGTACCTACAGTAAAAATAGTTAATACATTTATTAAATTGTAATTATGTTAAAACACACGTATGTTACCGGCGCCCCCGTGGAAAAGGGAGAATAAGGTAAATGTATGAAGATCTACTTCACTGCACCGGGTTTTATCCCATATGGTTCAATCTCTCTCCACAGTACGGCTAGCTGGCTTCTGAGAGCGTCGTACAGAGCATGACTTCCTTAGCTCCGAAGACAATCTTCAGGAAAAAAATTTGCACTCATTAACTGAACGGCGCCGCCGTGACACGAACCCACTACGTTCAGAATGCGAGAGAAAAAGATTGACCACTTTGCCACGGAGACCCCAGCGAAGAATGGCGACCCTGCTAGACATGTTGTGGGAGACTAAGAGTATGGCTGGGGGGTTGGCTATCCACTCCCGTAAAATCAACAGCGGCAAAAACCAACAGACCATGGAAAAGTCTAACAGAGTAGCAATAAATATCCACCCGGCTAATAAAAGAACGATGATCTGGTGCCCTGAAAGTATCTTCCACGGCTAGGTAAAGTGCATATTGTTGCACAGAAAACATCATCACGATAACTGATGCAGCAATGAAGATGAACTGTTATCGAATCATACGTTCGCTGGCGAACAAATTCGATGTGTAATGTTGGACAGTTCAAAATGTTGTTCGTTAAAAAAAAAAACTGCAGCATCGGAAGGTGTGTTCACAGTGGATATTACCGCGGGTGTTGATCGATCACCAAAATCAGGAGCTCTTGGAATAGTGTCTGAACCACTTGATGCGTTACAGAGCAGAGGGTGATGCATTTCTCTTTCTCTTTTGGAGATGGGTCATTGTGTCATCACCTTGAGTCGAGCAGTAAAAGGGAGAGCATGCATTGGAAGCATGCTGAATCATCAAAAGCCAATACATTCAACTTAAAGGTTTCGGCTGGTAAGTTAATGGTGGTCGCATTCTTTGAACACGCAAGGCAGACCACGTTGGCAGACTTTAAATAATTTATTGTCAGCATCTACTCTACCCACTAATTGGAAACACAAGACAAACTGCATAAAGCCATCAGGAATAACCACCCCTCCCCGCATGCTTTCTCGCGATGTGATTTTGTTGCACGATAATGACCATCTACATGGTGCAAAAGAGTGTGCAGGAAGCATTAGCATAGAAGAAGGTGGACATTTTGCAGTCCTGGTTTGTCACCATGCGATTTTTATTTGTTCAGACCTCTAAGCAAAAGCTCTCAAGGGACAACGATTCCACACTTCTTCTTCTTCTTCTTCTTTGCGTTCACCAGCTGTACACTGGCGGAAAGTTCTGGTTGCTCGTCCATTACTAAACTGCAGTCCTGCTCCAGAACCTGAGTGTTGCGTGTGCATCAGTTTTACAGATCTCATTCTCTTGAATACAGACTGTTGGTTCCTTGCCTCTCCAGCAGATGCACTCCGACTCCAAAGGAAGTTCCCCAATTAGTCGACTCTTACGACATGCTTTTGGGGAGGCAGTGGGTCTATTTTTGTTTTCCCCACAATGGGACCCCGGAACCCACACAGGGGGATTCCACACTGATGCAGACGGAATGACAGTTGTGAACACGTGGTTTAGCGAGCACCCACTATCCTTTTTCCTGCGGTCGGCATTCGCCGCCTACCTACGCAATGAACTGTTTGATGAATTTTTCTGACTAAGCCATGATCCATAGTTCATTCCAAATGAATGCGTTGTTTAACTCTGCCACACCTTTTGATGTTTCTTTCAGGCTTTTGTAATAAAGTCACTGAAATAGGTTTAAAATTAAGGCTCCGTATCTATCTTTTTCTATGGATATTTACCCAAGACTTGGGAGCCGTCGTGGTGTAGCGGCTAGAAATGTGTATACAGATCCGAAGGTGGGAATTCAAATTTGAACTGAGTCGGATTTTTTCCACATTAACCTTGGTTTCCAGGTTGAGACAGCCTTAAATGGTACTAGACAGAGTCCTGGGGAGTAAAGGCGTCCGGCGTGATATTTACCACATCAGCCACCGAGTACCGATTGGCCTATAAAATTTAGGTCTAGCACTATATAGTATGTCTGAAGGGGAGGAAAAGTCTCTTACTTGTAAACCTTGACATGATGACACTTGCAAGTTTTATCTTCAAATCGGCATCAAAGCAGACATTTTATAACTGAACTTGGTTCCTAAGTCAACCCCGCCTTAAACAGATACCAGGAAATATAATGGGAAGTAAAGGCATCCGGGCCTGCGCAGAATAGAGGGAATTAAATGGTATGATAGAATAACTAATGTAGAACTTTGGGAAAGAACTAAACAGGCTCTAGTGGACCAAGAGGTGAGGAAAAGACGCTGGCGTTGGATAGGACACACACTGAGAAAACAGGAGAACAGCATAACTAGAATGTCTTTGCATTGGAACCCACAGAGGCATAGAAATAAAGAAAGGCCAAAGAACACGGAGAAGAGAGCTGGA